ACATGAGCCTTAATGCCCAAAGCCCCGTGTCGCCTACAGGAGTATAAAGCCCCCAAGTATTGGGTTGTGGATTTATGGAGTTCCATAGAATAATTTAGGATGAGGTGGAGTCGAGAACTATTCATCCAACGTCTGTACCTGACCTCTCTAATGTTTTTTTGGCAGAATGTAATTAAATTCTCACAGCAATGTTCCAACGTTTAGTGTAAGGCCTTCTTAGTAGAAGCTGTTACTGCAGCAAAGGGGGACAAACTCCCTATCAATAACGTTGATTTCAGAATTAAAACTGGGTAGTGTCTACACATTTTTGAGACTTATTTATTCTTCTTGCCTTTAAGAACATAGATTTAGTGTGTTCTTGTCCCAAGGACTGAAATACTCAGCCCACCCACATCTCAGCTCGTACACTGATCAAAACCATCCCCCCTAAAGCACACAAACACACTCACACACACTAATGAGGGGGGGGAGTCAAAAGGAAAGAATAGAGTGAGTACCAAGATTGGGCTTTTATATAAGGAGACAGAGAGAATTTAGAGAATCATTATGGTACAGAATCTTTAGCTCGTTCTACACTTCACCCTCAGCATGTAAGGCTGAGCATGTTTGGGGCTGGGTTTGCTAATGCCTTGTATAAAGGGGGGTTGGGGGTGGACTAAAGTTGGGTGAATGAGGTGGCCTGTCTGTCGGGTCTGCAAAACAGCATTCATGAGGCACCAAACACTGCTCCATTCATATGGCTAGGGTTAGCAACACACATACACACACATACCTTTTCACACTGGCGTTGCTAGCACTGAGAGTAGAATTGTTGGAGCTGGGGAACAGACTGTAATCTAAAATTAATATGATATTAAATAAAGGAAATATTTGAAGCCAAACAACATTGCACGCAGTGTGTGTAAACAAAATGAAAAAGCACGAAATTTCATTTCAAATGTATTTAAATATTGTTTAGATACAATAAAACATCTCCTTTGTCCTGATTTCATTTTGTTGTGGGATTAACCTCTATATCACCACTGGTGCACACAGTCATCACGAGGTTATACAGAAATCAGGATTACACCACAAATCAGATTAATATCCAGGTGCCCAGAAACAAAGATGTGGGACAAACAAATGAACCACAGCCATTCAGATTAGTTTATGCCTGACCAGGTGGTTACTGGAAACATGCAAGCTCTACAGCAAAAATGAAGAAAGGTGCACACAGGATCAGTGCACTTTAGGAAATACTTCTAGGACTCTGCTTGAGTACCACTCCATTACAACCTTTTTTCCTGCTCCCAACAGTAAAGTCACCTCATCAGCTAATTAACAACCCTTTCATGACTTTAATGGGTGTGTCAGAGCTGGGAAAGTAATAAAATTTGCACTTCAATGGTGCTCCAGGACCAGAACTGGGAAACCCTCTAGGAAGGCTCCTGAAATCAGATCTCATACGCCCCCTTGTGGCCAGCAAATGAAGTAAACACCACAAATCTGGCTCAAATGTTAAAGGCAATGCCTGTGACAAATTCAAATCTGTTGCAAGCTGAGGCTGTGAGACAATTACACCCATCTGTCATTCTTAACCACCCATTGCAAACTGAAACAAAAGTCTTAGATAGCCATGAAAATCGTTTAAAACTACTTATGCTGGCAGTAAAAACATTGCATAACAAGTTTGTTAAATTCCATCAGAAGCACATCTGATTTAATTTAATGAAGGACCGATTAGATAAACTAGATATTGGATGGTAACTGTAAGTATTGGGCTTCCTCAAAGAGACACTTAAAATGGTTAAGTTAACACACTGACAGACATCCAATCACAATGTAGTGTTTATCTGTGTTTGTGATTACTGCCCAGATAGCTTAAGACTTTAGTACAGTGTGTGTGTGTGTGTGTGTGTGTGTGTGTGTGTGTGTGGGTCTCAGCAAAACCTCATATCTCCAGAATGGTAACTTTCCAGGAGAGAAGAAAAAAACATTCTTAACTTTGAATGGACGTCAATGGAACAAGATCTTTTTCCAAGTAAATCTGGAGCTTTTCTATTGCTACATTCATCACGAAATTTAAGGACAGCTGCCGTTTTCAAACTCTGTAAAAAAACAACAACAAAAATGGACATACAAGATTTTGTTGTAACAGTGATGATGTATATATCTATATACAATACTGTGCAAAGGTAAAGAAAACACAAAGTGCAGTCACACTGGTCAGAATAAAGTGCAGTCACATGGGTTGGTTGAGTGCATGTATGCATCTCTGTATAATAATATAATAATCCTTCAGATTACCACAAATACATGATACACTGACCAAAGACATTTAAGAGTTTAATTTCAAAGTTCTGTACATCCGTTTGTAACAGTTTTGGATATAAAGAGGTTTGAAAAGATGCATAATACACTTTTATAAGCTAGACTCTTAGCCAATGACATGCAGCGTGAGTGAGTTAAACTCCTGTCAACATGGTGTCAAATGTTAACATTTTTTTTAATAGTAAAGATATTGAAAAAAAGTGTTTACCAGTGTTATTTAAAAAAAAAAAAAAACATTTTTAAATTAATACAATTTAATAGAAGATTAAGGCGCCAAAAACTCCAAGCTGCTGCCTGCTCATAACAGGGTGGCCATTTCAGATCACATGTTGATTGACAGTGGCATCTCTCAGTCAATGTAAACAGGTCTGCTCCAGTGGCAGTGCGGAGTGACACCGTCAACATGTGGTTCAGCCTGGTACGTTTGAGCGCCCTGCAGAAATACAGACCATTTCACGCTTCTCGACTGACCTCTGAATGGTGAGCAAAAAGTGCAAAATGCTGAACAAGCTGTCTGATGATCATTTCACAGTCCACAATTTGCAGATAATGTTGGAGAACTCACGGTTTTATGTTTTTTTTTAACATGGACGTATAGTGTTGGCTATTTAAACGCTCAGCAGCACCAATGTTGTAAAGACGGGCTTCTGTGCAACGGGGCAGAAAGAAACAGTGGCAGAAAGTGGCTCTCTTCACAGCATAAAGCAACAATGACAAGGAGTTGTTGTGCAGTAAACTGCACCAGCTGCAGAGAAGATGGTTGGAGAATGTTTAATATCCTGAGGGGATCAAATCCATTTGCCAAACGTTGCAGGAGATTAGAAGATCCAGGTCGTTAAAAGGTGTCCCGATGGTCCCAAAAGCAGCGAAAGTCTGTGCAGCACGCACTGCATATTTGAATGTAGTGTTTTTTGATAGCGTGATTTGCTATAAAAAAAAAAACTGTTGATTTAAACATTGATTTATTACATTATTGCTAACTCTGATTGGTACTTTGACATCACCTGCACCAAATGTAGCCCAACTCAAATTAAACAGAAGAAAACAGTAGAAAAAGTCATTTCAAAGTCAATCAAACATCTCAACAGAAAAGACCAACATCATTCTTTCTCTGCCAGTTCATAGTAAAAATGCTATAAAAACAAAGTTTTGAATCTCTTCTTTGTTTCCTCTCTATTTATAAATAATGTCTTTTTAACATCATTAGTTTTTTATGATAGCGCTGTTGAAAAATTTACCTTGTTTTCATGCATTTTCATTGTAAAATGATATTTTTGTATATCAGGAGCTTGTTTTTGATTAAACACTGTATTGTGGTTGAAACAGAACTGCCGTGCTAGAGGTCACTCTTGCACTGTAGCACTTCTTTATATACAGGAACAGAGTGCAGCATCAGCAGCAGCGGTGAACCATCTTCAACATAGCAGTGACACTGACATAATAGTGGCGTGGTAGAGTGTGTGGTGCTCAGTGATGTAAGCAGAAAAAACCTTTTGGGTAGGCCTGTGAAAAAGGGGGTGTCATAACATCGAGCTTTAGCCTGTTCCTGAAAGCAGTACAGTCATCAGCCTACCTATTCCAAAACGTCTGTTCTGTGGTGATGCAAAACAATAGCAATCGACCACAATGCAGAATTCACATAAACACAACCGCAGCACTGTTCACTACAAAACTGTATGAATGAAGTTAAAATCAGACATCTGAAATGTACAAAAATGAGGAAGAACAATGCAGCAAACTTAAAAACCTAAACCTAATCATTCTAGTCTAAAACATACTGCCAAGGCAGGCGGACCCAAAGAAGACAGCATGACAGTAACAAAATCAGACACTTAAGATGTGGAAGGAAAAGGATTAAGGTAAAACAACACAGCAAACTTACAAACTAAACATATTCATTGTAGGCATACATACTGCCATGACAGGCATGAGAAATGTTTATGATCTATTTATGTCTTACCTGTGATGACTTGATGCAGTGAGGTAATGTTCCATTGTCCATGCATTAGAAGTGCCAAATTCACCGAAAACTGACGTGTTTAACTTTGGTGCATAGAAAATGATATACTTTACAGTACAGAATCTCACTTTTAAATGCTTTCAGCTTCATCTTTTAATCCCAACTGGAGCTTCAAACTCAAACACTAGTGTGCTGATAACAAACTAAAGTCTTGTGGCAATAGCAGATTGCAGTGAGTGGCGGGCTGAGGAAAAGAAAGCAGGGCTTGATTTGCCATAATACACTTACAGTGCTCATAGAAAACAAATCAAATTTATGTATGTGAAAGATTCAGCTTAAATGTTCTTTGCTGATTTTCATTGGCTACGCCCCTGGTGGTGCTACTATGACTCTATCAGGCACAGTGCTGTTGGACATCACTGTTAGGATAAACTGGTACACCATCAAAACCACAAAAGGGGGCAACTGACCACATAAGAAGCTAAACTATAAATGCTGTGAATCATTATCTGGCTAAATGTTTATGAGCTGCAGTGTTTCATGGTGAGTTTGATTTTGGTACTGGGTCAACATGGTTTGGGCCAGTGAACATGCCAACCACGAAGGATATGCACATCCGTTCTGTCAATCAAAAAGCACACAAACAATCCAGCCAATAGATGTGCATCATACCATATATGGTCATTGTGGTTAGCCAAAGTGTGAGCTTTGTTTGAACATCTAAGAAAAACAGACCTGCACACTACAGGACTAGCAACATGGAGAGAATTTCTTTTGCGATACTTATTTTACACAGTAAGTATAGTTGAGAGTCAGAGTAAGTCATATTTCTATGGATATATAACTGTGTGTTTCTGCAACTACAGCAGTTTTGGCTGTCCATGTTTTTAGAAATCAGTGAAAATGTCTTTACAGCGGCATGTCTTTACAATAACAGAGTGTTGTGGTAAGGACATACAGTTGTATGCAAATTTTGTCAAATTTTGCTTTGTTTTTCTGAAAATACATGAAAATAAGTTAAGACATCTTCTACAAATAACACACATCTGCACATTTCAATACACAATTATTGTTTATTTGGCAAATCTAACATATTGAAATATTTTACATAAAATATAGACTGTGTAGAAGTTATGGTGTGTTTTATGTTTCATGTTTCATGTTTCCAATATACTAAATTTAGTATTGATGCAAGATGCAGTTTCAGTTTTGAAAGGATGTCATTTTGTAATTCAATAACTTTGTTTTATGCATTTGAAGATTTAAATCACAGATGTGGAACATGAATAAAGAGCATCATTTTACCCAAAATATACTTCATAAATGAAATTAACTCATTACATTTCACAAACGTTTTGTGTGTGACATTGTGTTATGACACTAATGAAATACACTAAAACTGTGAACGTATATCCACAAATTTGTAGCTGAGACCTAAAATTAGCTGTTAGTGCAGAATCACACAACTATGTATTACATATGTAGTATGTGGATAAATGGTTGACTCACATGTAATAATACAACTTATGATTACAGTTATGTGCTTGCGTTTGTCACAAAAAGTCTTAGGCTGTAAGTAAATCAGCAGTTTTGTTAAGAAAAATAAGAATCTCTCTAATCAGAACTATGTCTCTTTTAGTCTCCTTTAGTCAGGCATCACAAGCTGTGAGTGCAGTGCAAGCACAACGAAGGAATGAGCTCAAACTGCCATGCAGTGAGAAGCATGCGGACAGGACAGTATGGTATGGACAGAAGTGCAATGAGCACCCCTTCATCATCATCGCTGTCATTGGCACAGATCGAACTCAAACGGATCCAATATTCATTCAAGGTCATGACTCAAGATTTGAATTGAAATGGGAGTCAAATACAGCGTCATTTGGCCTGACAATCAAGAATTTTACAGATGCTGATCAAGGATTCTACTACTGCAGTGTAGGAGATGGTAGTTACACAATGATTGCATCTGGATACACTGTGACCCTTGAAGGTAACTATTCTGCATTATTTGAGCTGTGTACAGTACTGCGCTGTACTGTAAAAAATACTGTACTGTAATTTTTAATTTCCAGTCAAAACTGTCAATACACACATTTTTCAGCATCAGGAAAAAAGAGAAAATGTTTAACAGAAATTACACAGAAGCCTCAACAGCTAAACATAATATCACATTTTCAGTATTTAGTGTGTTCACCCTTTGCTTTTACTGCAGCTTTAATTCTTTTAAGGAGACTTGCTTTCACTTTTTCAAAGAAATGCACAGTGACATTTTTTCACACCTCCAAAGTTCAGTCTCAGAAGTTTGTTGTTTTTTTTTTTGCTTCTCACAATCCAAATAATCTCAAACACATTCAATGATTTTGAGGTCTGGACTCTGGGGTGGTCAGTCCATTGCTCTGAGAACACAAGTAGCTTCTAGCAGTTTAATTTGCATATTTTCTTCCTTTTTGTACATTTGAACATTCTCAGTAACAGCTTCTTGATGGCTACACATCCTCTTAGACCCATAACACTGAGTTATCCTTTCACAGTTGAAGGATGGACAGAAACACCTGTAGATTTTTTTTACATTCGACATTTCACATTTGCCACATTTCACATTCTCCTCTCTCTCAAAGATTAAAGCTTGAAGTACTGTTTACCTGATAGTGACAGTTGTGTTAGTCTACCAGGTCTTGCAGGGTGGTTAGAAGTCCCATTTTCTTTGTAACTTAAAATAATATTTTGAAATCTAGTTTTGGAAAGTCCTGTTTTTCACCTAATTCCTTTTGACTTTCCCCTTCCTTATGCAAGTGTATTATTGACTAACTTGTACTTAATGGTCATTTTGACTGGAAATGAATAAATGAAGTGTCGTTTCTAACTTTTGGACAGTACTATAGAAAGAATGTAAAATGTTGAAATTCTAGGTGAAAAGGATAATATTAATAACCAACATTCCATTAAAAAAAACATACACTGTAACAAAAGGTTACAATGTGTGCAATGCTTAGTGAAAACAACTTTAGATAAGATTGGGTGTTTCCCCCTGAAAGGTGTCAAGCTCTGAAAGGACTGAACAACCATCCTCTGTAGTGGTGCTCTGCTGACCATTTTATAAAAAAAGTCCAGCATCTCATTCACAAATCTTGGCCCTGAGTTTGGTTTGACTTGCACCTCTTTGGGGAGATGAGAAGCCAAAGAGGGAGTTCTCTGGTGCTTTTGGGGACACCAGTTCAGTGGAATGTGAGTAGTGTGAGTGTCTAAGCAGCTACCACTTCCCCTCTCTCTGTACTCTGGTCTATGTAAAGACCTGTATAAAGTATATCATGACCAAATGTTTTCAGAGTGTCTTGGGAGATTACTGCCTTAAGTCAAATGTTACTGGCATGAGTAATCACCACGGATGGTTGTTTGGAGCTGCCTGGTGCCTTTTGTGCCTGGAGTAGATCTTTATAAGAGCGTTGAAGGCTTTCTATTGCTCAAGTCCACAACAGCCAACTTTCCATTAATAGTTAAAGAAGTTAATGAAGGGGTACTGCCACCATGGCAAATAAGAGGCCAAAACCTCTGCTCTCTGCATCAGTTGCTATATAGATGTTCATTTAGGCCCATCAACCAGATCATCATCCAGGTACACCAGAGTTTTTGGGTATGCTTTACAGAAGTTGAACAGCTCAAATGTGGAAAGGGGCATTGCATATCTCAAATGGAATAACAGTAAACTGCCAAAGGCCTGTTTCTGCAGTGAAGCCTATAGCCGCAGATGCAGCAATCTGATCTTACAGCTCAGATTTCTGAGAAGTCAGTACATGTCCTTACCTGTGGCATCATTGAGAAAATGGACATCTCTGATTGGACAGGTGTGGTGATAGGGGTTGATTCCAGGAATTTCATTTTAGTATGTTACCAAGGGAATATCATCCAGGCGCTTGGTGACTTGGAAGAACGGCCTGAAGTCATTCTACATGTACATTTATCATTCAGGTGTTTCCTGCTGTGCTTCCACACTAATGGGGTTATACCATGGACAGCAGCTTGCAATGTTAAAGTCACCTTTAAACTGAAAGGGTATGCCCAGTCTCTTCTCCTTTACAAAACATAGTCACCTCTACTTACCTCTCTCTTCTTCTTCAGCCTCTACGTCCCTCCCTCAGAGGCTCTCTTACTGCCTGCAATGTAACTGGCAGAGAAAGTCCCTCAAAAACCTGTGCTGCTGATAGGTTGAAACCAGATTAGAAGGCGCATACTAAATGCATCAGCAAGTTTTCAGCTGCTTGTTTTCTTCTGCAACCTATAGCTAAATGAGTAATTTATTACTCTTTTTTGTTGTTTTATTAAAGCCCATGACTGTATCCTGGGTAGAGACCAAAGTGCCCTTTGTAAATCTAAATAGAGCATTTGGTAGCTTATGATCTCTGGTGATCTCAAAATATATGTCAAATAGATATAAATGGAATATTTTTACCCCGAACACGGCAGACCCTCTTCCTCCAGTTGTGAAGAGCTCTTTTGACCACTGTTCATAGAAAAGCTGTGGGCTATCCAGATCCATTTGACATCCTTTGTGTTAACGCCACCCCATACCATAAGCTGCCAAAAGGGCATGTAAAGGTGTCAGGACTGTAGAAGTGTTATAGGTGGTGGGCTGTTCTGAATATCAGTTTTTGAGTTGATCTATCTCTGGCTCAGTAGTATTACATACTCCATTTTTTAGTAATTGAAATGGCCAGGCAAAACCAGGCAAACACCATCAGCTACTAAACAAAATGGCCAACAAAATGTCTTACATTGTCTTTTTTTCTCTTAGTCAGTGAATCACTATCAGCGAAGTGAACCACAGTGGTAAACAACTTGAAAGTTGTGTTAGCCCAGAGGGTCAATCTGGTTAGATACACTAGATATAACTATTATAGCACTATTTAAAGATTTGTGATAACATTTATGAGAACAATTAATAATTTTATCAATTTATCATACCACAGGGGTTGGAACCAGGCCAATGACTAAACTGGCTGACAGACGAGTGGCATGTGGGTTATATCGCTAATCTTACAGTTTTTTTATTGCAGCACAAATAAAAAAAATATATTTAATAGGTAGCATGTGATCACAGTTGTCATGCTATTTACAATCCTTTGCTTTCTACAAATGTCTTCTCTTTCCTCCTCTGTGCTTGTTTGTCGTTTTTATGAATTTTTAACTGATTCCCATCCCTTCCTACCCACACTGTATGTTTCTGTATCCTGTTTATTTATGGTTTCTTCTGTGCATGGTAAAGTTTTTCTTTGCTGAGTCCATGCCGTGATTTCCACTACAGAATCATGTCTGTTTTTAACGCAGTGCTGCCCGAGGGCCCAATCATCACAGCCAGCAAATATTGGATTTCTCTGGATTCTCTGAATCTTTTAATGATAATGTTTCTTAGATAATGAAATGCCCAAGTTCTTTGCTGTTTTACGTTGAGAAATGTTGTTCTTGAATTGTTGCACTTTTTGCCTACAGTCCTTTACATAGTGGTGGACCCCTCTTTACTTCTGAGAGACTCAGTCTCTCTGGGATGCTCTTTTTATACCTAATCATGTTACTGACCTGTTGCCAATTAATCTAATTAGTTGTGACATGTTTTTTAGTATTACAAAACGTTATCCATCTTTTGTTGCCCCTGTCCGAACTTTTTTGAAATTTGTTGCTGGCGTCAAATTCAAAATGGACATATATTAAAAAAAATAAATAAATAAATACTATTTCTAAGTTTCAACATTTGATTTGTTATCTTTGTACTATTTTCAATTAAATACAGAGTTTAAATTAATTTATACAGCATTGCATTCTGTTTGCACAGCGACCCAACTTTTTTGGAAATGGGGTTGTACATAAAACTGTGGATCTTCCATGATTCCAACAGTTATCAGTGTTTCTGAGGTGACTGCTATGATTGATTGAGTATTTCTGTAGTAAGAACACCAGTGTTGATGTTTTGATAGAATGAATGTATTTTGAGATGGTCCATCTGAAATTCTTTGTCATGCTAATATTTCCATGGATTTATTTTCAGAGGGTTAACATGCACGTTTGGAAAGATTGAGACAACACAATGTACAGGTACTGCCGGACACTATGTATGAACCGGAGATTCCCATGAACGCAGACAGACATCTTTCTTCATGTATAGAAAAATGAATACAAACATATATGAACATGATGATGTTGTTTATTAGGAAATGTTCTAGGCTGTCATCACCTGTGACTGCTGCTGCCTTTGCAAGTAAGACAGCAGCGTAACGTGAGTAACATGTGAAAAATAAGTCAAAGATGTGTTTAGATGTCATCAAGTATGTGAGCATCGGCTCAGGAGACGACACGGAACACATAGCACATACAGACGAATGCTTTCTTATTTTGAACAGGCACTTCAACAGACAGTGAAATGCCCAACCCAGTGCTACCCCAACTTGAAACCAAGGAGGGTAGACACTTCCAACACTCTCCACCCTCCTCAGTTCCAATTACTCTAATTAACTCCAAACTAAACCACCCAGCACCAAGAGCAGTAAGAACAAACTGACCTTTTTAACCCGGAGTATGGTACGCTTCGAGAGCCACTTTGCATGGCCACATCCCCTAAGCTCCTCACAGCTGCGTATAATATAGCATTAAAAGGTGTTTTTTTTTTTTTTTGCAGCGTTCTGCAGTGATCCATGTGTAATCATGTTTAGGCTCATGTGTTGTTCTGCCCAGACAACTAATCTGATTGGCCTGCTTCCTCTCGATGTATCATAGATGAGCTCTGATTGGAGCGCTGTGTAGATGTCCTGCCATTTTGACTATTTACAATTTAATCTTTTAGAAAAATGTGCGCAAATCTTTATTTCCAACATTTTTTACCATTTTAACAGGAATATTTCAGATGTAAATACGAAAAAGAATGTGGCTCTTTGCCAGGGATCAATGAAATGTTTTCAAGGCTCAGCCTACAGCCTTTTAGTACTGTAGAGGTGTTAGTACAGTTGGTGGAGAAAGTGATCATAGTAATTGAGAAACCGAGGCATGATAATATTTCATTTGTGTCTACACATTTGAATCAAGTAAATTCATTAAGTAAATGCATTATTTTTTTTAGTGCAGGTGATTTTAACGTACAGAAAAAACTTGAATGTTTTTTGTTTCCTCTACAGAGGAGGTAAACACACCCACAAAGCCCTCAGTCCCGGCAAATGCAAGTGTCACGTTGGAATTACGTCAAGAAAATGGACACCAGCATTGGCAAAGACAGGCTATTTGGCCTTTAGTCTCTCTTATCGTGTCTGGAATAGCGTTGTTGGGTATTTATCAAAGTAAGTAGTTTTTAATTACTCATGCAACAAAATTTGAATTTTAAAACAGTGTAGTTTTACAAATCCAAACAACCGGTATAATAACTTATAAAATGCCATTTTTAGCAAGTATATAGTTTACAAATTAGTTTTTTCTTGTAAATGTTTTTTTTCAGTACAAAAGCAACCGAGGAGGAAAAAGCAAACAACACATGATGAAATTAAGGTGTGTGGACCAAACACTCAACACTGTCATTCAAGAATACTAAATTTCATGCAAAATGTCTCAGTGGTTGCTGACGTATGTTTATTATTGACTGTTTGAGGTCTATTCATTTCAAAGTGTAGTTTATAGGCCAGCAAGACCAAGGTGTGTTCTCTAGGGTGTAGGTTTTTATTATTAGAGCTGAAGATGCAATTTGGAAAATTAGATAATAAAGTCAGCAAAGATAATAACAATCTACAGCACACTACACTGCAGTTCCTATTGAGTTATTTTAACATATCATTGCTGTCAGAACACAACACTGAGTGTATTTACATGCACTTAATAATCCTGTTATTATCAGATTTCTGTGGTTATCTAACTGGTCACATATACTAGGCCTAGAAATCTGATTAAAAAATCTGACAAAGAGAGCTTGATTTTAGCTCAGTGATAGGGTTTTTCAGCTAAAATATCTATATTTTATTCATTTTAATGCATTTGAAACCTTCTACAAATGAAGATTACATTACATATATATAACGTTAATATAAGATGGTTTAGTCCCAATTTTTTTGTTTTATAAATGTTTGTGTACCATCGTTGGTATCAGCATCAACAAATATGTACATGAAGAACACAGAATATCAGCAACCTCCCACGATTCCTACACTGGTGCATCCCTATTGTAAACAAATCATTTCCAAACGCTCTGTGCCTTTTTGTGATTTACTGATCTATAATGTTGTATTTTACAGCAACATGAAGGAGTTTACACAACAGTTTACTTCACATCATGTTGAACAGAATTTCTTCTTTGCCATCAAAATTTTGCAAGACAAAGCTTCAGTGTTTCAATGAACCTTAAATAAAAGTGAGATCTTTCAACACCACAGGTTTTAACAGTGCTTAACGTCATTAATACATACATCTGATATGTGTGTGTGTGTGTGTGTTCTATTGAAATCAGTGACTACAGTCAACTATAAGACTGTATTATTGTACCATTATGTAATTATGTATGTAATCATTACTGTGTTTAAATTCCATAGTAACTGTGACAGGAAACAAAGCTCAAAACAAAAGGGCATGAAACAAAAGTGTGTGTGTGTAAAGAAAAAATGAGAGAGGAACAGATATGTTCTTTCACACCTTCTAACCTCAAATGTTCCAACCACAATTCTGATGCAGCTGCCCAGTAGCTTTTACAGAAAAGCAAACCTGAGGAAATGACACATTAACCTCTCTGAATTCCAGGTAAATTCAGACACAGTACTAAATGTTAAAATTATATCAAGTTATATAATAGAAGTTTGCAACCAGATTACAGATTCATATTTTTTATCTACTAATTTTTTAAATACATATTTTTAGACACTGTTTAACGTTTTAATCAAATACACAGTAGGGTCACTGAGAAGTCACTGATACGTTTCAGGACCGCCGTGATTGGAAGACAAGACAGGAAGGAAAGTTAGTGTTACAATGCCCCACCACCCATCGTGGTTCTTTATACAGTCATATGTAAAAGTAAGGACACCCCTGGTCAAATAACATGTTTTGTTGATTTTCTAAGTGAAAATAAGATAACATGTCTTCAACAGAGAACACACTTAAATGTAACATTTTCCTGCACATTTTTAACAGTTTAACATATTGAAAAAACATGAAATGTAAAATGTGCCATAACTTTTGCACACTTCACATCATGTTTGATTTCTCCACAAAGTCAACAAATAAACAGCAACTTCATAGACATGCTATGGTGATGCTTTTGGAATGGGATGTCCAATAAGCTCATATAGCTGTAATGATCAGTGTCTACATACTTGTAGTAGCCATGTAGTGTAGCTTACAAAGCAACGCACAAAATTATCAGCACAAGCAGAACATCTCTTCAAAGCAGGGATTAAATTTTTAGTGCAGATCCACATCACACACCTCCCAGACTTGATTCAGCAGGTATTTGGTGGAGCCGTCATTCACATCTAAAATAAATGTATATACATTATATCTGTAATTATGTTTCATAAAACACCACAGTCATATTTTCTACAAACAATGCACTACATCCACATACAAAATGCTGCAAATCTGACTAAAAAGTAGCAAGCTATGTGATTTCAAGTGAATCAAATATACATCATTCCATTGCACAGTCCAGTTCATGTTTAGCTCCGCTTTGGAAGTAGCTAGTGTTACTGGACAGAGGCATCAGACATCCTCAAGGAAGGTCAGTATTCTCCAGTGTTCTGTCAATATTCTTAAAAGTTTGAGTTAATCTTTTGATGGTTTCAGATCATGAGGGCCTCAGACATTTTAATTGTCATATAAAGATTGCACTTCTTACACAAATGTAATTAAAATGACTTTATATAAATAAAAGCCAAATAAAAACAGCATATAAAAACATAAGAAATAAATTAAATGTATAAATATTAAAATAAGTTCAAAGTCTAGAAAGAAAGTGCTTTGACTGTATAAGGCTAAACAATCTAGAGGCTTAGTGTAATGTGCATGTGGAGGCCGCGTGTGTCTGAGGCAGGCAGTGTGGCTGAGGCAGCAGCGGCGATCTTTAACCTCAGGCAGGCCGATGCTGGTGTGAAAATGTTCCAACCACTGTAGACACCAAACACGAAAATGAAACTTTGGCCAAACGAGACAGGATTTGACCTCATACATTCAGACAATCATAGAACAAAAAAACGTGGGCGGTCTCATCAGTTAAACAGTTAGTGGAAAAAAAAAAACTGAGCACATTTTATATGAATACTCCAGAGTTTGGAGTATAGAATGTGGTAATATCATAACATGTATTGCAATCATATTATCAGTAAGAAAGACAAAGAAAAGTGTATCATAGCACTCTTATTATACAAAGCTCAGTCTTCAGATTTTCAGTAATGTATGTAGACAAAATTTAGCACAGAAAACAAATTGAAATGGTGTGTCTGGTGTTCTGCTTCTCCTCATACACCATTATCTTCATTATAGTGATGGCATTATGTGGGAACAACTCATAGACCATCTGTGAAAATGAACATAATTAATACATTTTCAAACTTCATGTGTAATTAAATCATTAGGATGTAAACAAAGTCACTCAGAGTGATTTGATGTGAAATCAGCAATTCTAGAGTCAGAATTGTTCACAAATATGAACCAGACATCTGTAGTGTTTAAAATCATGGAAAATCAAACTTCCCTTGACTTTTTTAAAAATGTATAAACATTGTTGAAGTTTCAAAACGTACTGTTCACACACTAGTCAATACAGTCCGTCTATGGAATCTACACTTCAAAAATGGCCCATTTTGAATTAATTATTTTTGTGATGTCACAAGAATCAACTCCTTTTCATTCATCCACCCATTCAGTCTATAGCAGTTTAGCTCCGCCCACTGACACAAAGTTACAAAGAGTGTTTCAGCCTGGACAGATTTTTGAATGATGCACACTATAGCACAGCCAATCAGAACAGAGCTCATTTTCATATATCAGTCTTAAAAACAATAAGTACAACAGCCTGTTTTTAATTCCAGGGGATTAACAAAAGTGGGAAATAAGTATGTTTTTGGGTATATAAAACCCACAAACATAAATAAACCTCAATTCAAGAAAGACAGTGAATGATACGAGGTGTCTAAAAGCTGCATAAAATAGTTTGATAATTAAAAATCTGAGGTCTGAGACATTGTTTTATGATGGTTTTGATGAAAGATTTTGGCATAAAACGTAATTAAATGAATAAAATAATTTATGGCAGAAAGGTACATTGAGGACATCATTAGGCAAAATAGTCCCAAAAGAAAACTTAGTTTTTTCTAATTTATCACTATTTTATTACTATTAACATTACATACAAAACTCAGAAGGCATGTGCAGGCTTACTGGTCATTTCAGGCAGTAAATAAAATGGCTAGTTGATAAGTGTGCACTCTACCACGATAAATACAATTTAGTTTCACAGTCACATCTCTTGAATATGAAATAAATCATAAAACTATTTAACAATTTGACTGGAGTTCAAAAATCAGCATCAAACGCATGTAAACAAATCAACAGCAGCAGCTACGACCAATAGATTTTCATCTGACCATTTATGGTAACCTTGATGCAGGACGCCAGTATAAAACCCTCTCAATCTGACTGAATGCAGACAAAATGGAGGTGGTCTTTGTTACTGTGATGGTTTTACATTGTAAGTACACTTGCAAATAATATTTACATAACAGATATAATTAGATATTAGAATGGTTAGTATTTACCATAATGTCAGTAATAACAGGCAGTAAGTCTACGTTTGTATATTTTGTTTCTCAGTGTTTTGCTGTGTCGAGGTTACTCCTGTTACAACAGAGGAGACGCAGGTAAGATATCAAATTAAAACACCGAGCGTCAGAATCATCAGGACTGGAGACGCTGTGGATCTGTGCTGTGATAAAAATCACAGGGACAAAACTATGTGGTACGGACAGAAATACAACAGGGCACCATTTATCATAATTTCAGCTGAGATTACCTCAGGACACAAGGAACGTCCACCTGTCAAGTTCTACTGGGGCTACAACTCACAAATTAATGTCACATGGAATCCAACAAACAACTCAATCTGTTTGACCATTAAGAACATCAACGAGTCTGATGAGGGATTCTACTTCTGTACAGTTGGAGATGGTGTCTTTACTACTCCAGGAACTGGTCATATTCTTAAATTAGAAAGTAAACACCACCTTTTTGTACTATTATTCTGGTGCCTGAAAAATTCATTTCAATAATGCTTAGCAAATACACTTACGATGCAGGTCATTGGGCTTCATTTGAGGAGACTTTTTTCTGTGTTTTGAAACTAGTCCCTATTGAGTGAGTTGCAATAAGATTTTAATCTTGAATGGGATTCTTTACAAGCTTGAGTTTGTGTAGACAACGTTGATATTGTGGCCGACACTGTAGAGACTATCCTGGTAGACTATCTACTATTTAATTGATTTGTCTGTCACATACTTTGCATAACTGAGACTTGCACTTTATTTCTACTGCACTTTACTTTTTAGAATTTCACCTTTTAAAAGCTAATATTAATAACACTTACACCTTTTGTCTTTAATTTTCTTTTGTTCATTATTTCAACTGTATGTACTTTGTACTTCTTTGTATTTTTTATGTTTAATTTGTGTAATCTACTGCATGTTTGTCTTCTTTTACATTTTTATTTTTATTGTTTTTCCACTCTTAAGCACTTTGTCTTTATTTTTCCTTTTAATGCTTTTTTTTTGCTTTTTTTATGTAATGCACATTGTATTGTCTTTGTGTATGAAATGTGCTATATACATAAACCTACCAGGCCTTGCCTTGCCTAGTTGGATATTAAAGTACATAGTAATTTATGTGAAAAATTCTGGGTGTGTAAAGCAGTACTTGAAATTATTCAAGGTAATTAATATGTCATTATGTAGTACTTACAAGATCCATACTTTTCAAGTTCAATTTGTAACTAAAGGGAGGAATACAAGAATAATTATTGTATTGTTGTACAAAGTACTGCTGTTCAGCATGTTTTCACATACTTTACTATGTACTTTAACATTAATTTATATATCTATATATATATATATAATATATTTAATTTAATAGTAAATGCTAGGTTTTTACTATGCTGTGAAATAAAGTGCTACCAAAATTTAAATATTTAATTTTGACAAAGCTAAACACTGCTGTGAAGATCATGAGATTTCTAAAGTGAAGCACTTTTTTAATGATTCTGACAGAAGAGGTTCTAGGACAAACATCACCTTCCAGTCTGATATCTCCTCCCACACCAGTCATTCCCTATCAGGACATCAGGCACTGTAGTGCCCTTATGGCCCTTTTATGTCCAGCTTTGGTCATCTATTCTGCATTGGCATGCTGTGTCTTTTGGATGTGTTGCATGAAAAGTAAGTGATTTTGTGTAAATCAAACATGATAGAGACATTTTTCCCAAGTACAAAATACTTTACCTACTAATTAACATGTGGATGTTTGATTTTCAGGGCAAAAAGGAGATTCTTACACAGCAGTCAGCTTCACTTCAGAGGATCATCATGTTTTTTAGAAAGAGAGTTCCTTAGGGCCAGTTTCCTAGACGCAGCTTAAACCTAAGCTTAAATTTAAGCTATAAAACTATATAGGTTTACCATTGGCACTGCAATTTAGTCAATGACCAGACCTAATGTCCAGCCTTTACTCTGTTAGTTGCTTGACAATCTTCAGCTTGACTTCAACTTTCATCACCACCTTTTCCTCCTGTAATGTGCTTTTGTGTCCTAGATAAAAATAAAAGAATAAAAATTAATATTTGACTCTTTGTACTAATTTTATTATTGTGCGCACACACACACACACACACACACACACACACACACGCACACACGAAGTTTGTGTGGCATTGAGCTTAAAACTGTTAAAAAAGTCTGGGATTCTCATCCTTTTAGATCGTTCAAATATTTGCTGTTCAATGATCAATGGTGGCACATCTTAAAAGTTACACATTCTGAAACAACACTTAACATGTCTTTCTTCAAGCATAACCTGCATTAACTATCACTAAAATGCCTGTTTACACAATAAAGTTGAGTATATTAGGAGATCTGTACATTGGTCCCATACTTTACTGCTTAGATGTTAAACTTGTTCTGTGTCACCTTTAACCTGCCTGATGTTGTTCAGCCCTCATGAGTGCAAGTTTCATAAAACCTTTTGATGCTCTTGGACACAGCAGTCCAGACACCTGAAATGTTTTGTGATTTATCTTGACTGATTTTCATTTCGAAAAGTAAGTAATAGACAGTTTTTTGAGTATTGTGACACAGTTTAGAGAGTACATTGTATCTATACAGTGTACTTTCAACTAATTAGAATTTATTTCTGTCCGTACCACATAATGTGTGTGTGTGTGTATACAGTGTCTGACAGGGGCAGCAGGGGTATTGAAACACCAAGGTTTAACCTCAAACAGACTAGTGTGAAATGTTCCAAATGCTAAGTTTCGTCAGTCAGAGGTATCTTTGTTAGACATTCTCTAACTATTAGAATACTTTATTAACTTCATCAACTAATTTCAGCAATTGCTTTTACTGGCTGAGGCGACACTATTTGAATAAAAAACTTTTAATCACCTTCAGAAATGAAAGTCAGTCAAGACAAATAAAAAAAAACCTTGTGAAAGTCAGAACCTCTGCGGGCAAGAGCACCGTTAAACAGAACTGCCTCCTGTGAGGGATGAAAAACATTAAGCAGGCCAGAGGTGACAAAAGGTCACAAAAAAGGTCATAAAATGTCACAAGTCATCATAGTCTACAAAACTAAAGATTAACTGCTTCTGCAATAAACATATAGGAACTAATAGGAGTTTAGATATCAACATCAACTGTTGACAGAAGATTGCATGACGTTGGCCTAACTTTGCAGTGAAAGAATTACTGGAAAGAAACCATTAATAAGAGTGCAGAGTAAAAGGAAAAGGCTTGTCTGAGTCAAACAAGACAAAGAAAGTGAACATTTGAGCTGTGACAATCACGCTTATGGAAAAATGAGTCAAACAAATGAGTCCTGTTTGTGTGGCTCTGCCAAGTAGGTTGTATAAACAAGACGCTTAATGCATGTGTCAGTGGTGGAGAACTCCATTTAGATATTTATCTACCATTTAGATAAACAGACAATTTGGGCTGTATGAGCTACCTGTAACTTTGTTCCATATGATTTTAAGCCTCTGTCAGGATGAGGGAATTTTATTTTGAATAGTGTATACAGACACATACACACTAAAGCACCCCTACCTTACATTTTTCCTTCTCTTACCAGTTGCTGCTCTTCTTTTTGGACAGATATTATCAATGCTCTTTGGTTTACTTTGCCTCTTATCTCCTCTGATTTTCTCTTTCCTATCATTATTTGCATTCGTATATGTGATTTGGCACGAACACAAGCCTTTATTGATCAATCCTAAGGCCCTGTTCTAGCAGCACTGAATAATATAGCTGCTTATGTGCCAGTTTAAAAGCTACAGAGGAATATGGGCCTTTGCTTTAGACTGTTGTGAAAACCATATTGTCCCAGTGTTCTTATGTATTTAATTCCTTATTTCATGCACTGTTGTAAAGGTTCACTGTGCCTGAAGTGGTCTGCAGCTGTACTGACTGGGCTGGTGGTTCATGCTATGATTGCTTTGATCATCAAGTGAATAATTGCTGGATATCAACTTAATTCACTTTTTGCAGTGTATGTGTGATTAAATCTTAAGCATATACAGTAGTGAATAGCTTGTCCTATTATCCATCTGGCAGTAATCATCTCCACCAGCTGCCTTGCAGCCCCCTATTTGTTTGTTTGTTACTCATTGAAGTTGCTTAAAAACGTGCTCTCACAGAAAGTTATTACATTACAATGGTTATGAATATGCTGTCTGATGCCTGAGACATTGCTTTATAATAGCCTTGACCTGAAACCTTTTTCACCCCAGTCATCCATTCATGGTGGAGGGGTACATATCTCCACACAAAAATTATTTTTCTTGCTGGTGGTTTTGGACAATAAGTAAACTAAATGTGCACTGTAGACAATTTAACCCCTTGTTCGTATCAGCTCCACAATAAAGAAATCAGACTCATTAAGTGTCATGATGTCTACCTCTCCCTCTAGGAAGATTCTATTTGGACCCACCTGGTCTGGAATGGTTCTTCCCAGCTCTTGTTCTTCCTTGACTCCACCTCTCTGCACACACACCTGCAGCTTTATTGACCTAACAGTTCATTGACCCGTTCACCTGTTTGCAAAGTCTTACCTTAACTGAGGGCTAAGCCAAGTTTTCTGGTTTTCTGGTGTTTTGACCTCTGCCTACCTTGATGACTGTGATGTTGAATTGGCCCTAATAAAGCTACTCTGCACACGCAGCTGGCCTACAAGCCCAATACATTACAGTACGTTTCTCTAGAACAGAGCATTTCACATCAAACCACTCTGAAAGACTTTATTTACATTTATACCAATGAATTATGTGTAATATTTGAAAAATAAGTGGAATTCCCCTTTAAAGCAGTTAATTTTCTTGAAATCCATGTATCTGCATCTCTTAACTTACCAGGGATTGAACGACCTCAGTTCTCTTTCAAGGCATTAATGCTAAAACTATTACCTTGGGCAAACTCCCAAAGGGATATAAACAGTTGTCTACAGAAAGTGCAACGCCTTAAGCATATGCATGGCCTACTGCTTGCATTTCTTGCCTGCCATGGTAATCTCAATTATCATGGATTTTTTGTTGTACTTCAGAAGCAAGAAACATGCAATTCCATCAGGATTATGGTAATTTGAGAAGTCTTCCATTCTGTAACGCCATAAAAAATGTATGTTTCTCTGTGAGCTCCAATGCTACCAAGAGACAACATCAAGCAAACCACAAGTGCCCTGCATCTCTGGGAATTACTGCAGAAGAGGTGGGAAAACATACCAGATGATTGCCCACTGAAATCTATTAAATTTATCATGACTGTAAAGCCGTTAATAAGGTGCACAGTCCAAGTTTCCAGACAATATTCCATTGTATTTGGAATTTTATTTCGCATTTATAAACCTACATAGCACAAAAATGTTGGTTATGAAAGCATCTAGTTTTGTGCAAGGGTACTCAAACTTATGCTGTATACAGGAAATACTGTATCACATAGTTTGGGTACACCTTAGACATGAATTAATTTCCAGGCTCATTACAAAGTATCATAACAAATCCAATACGTTTCAGTTAATAAACTTCATCATGTTGCTATCATGCATGTGCTAAGCTGCTCATAACTGTAAACTCACTCCTGTTTTCTTCAAAGAGGTCAACAATTCAACAACAACCAATAGATTTTCATCTGACCATTTATGGTAGCCTGATGCAGGACGCTGGTATAAAACCTGCTCAATCTGACTGAATGCAGACAAAATGGAGGTGATCTTTGTTACTCTGATGCTTTTACACTGTGAGTAAACTTATAAGTAACATTCTAACTGTCTAACTGTCAGATATTAGGATGTTTACACTTTAAAATGAAGTCAGTAATGAGACAGCAACAGCCGATAATATTTTTGATGTTTTTTTTTTTTTTAGTGTTCTGCCGTGTCGAGGTTACTCCCGTTACAACAGAGGAGACGCAGGTAAGATATCAAATTAAAACACCGAGCGTCAGAATCATCAGGACTGGAGACGCTGTGGATCTGTGCTGTGATAAAAATCACAGGGACAAAACTATGTGGTACGGACAGAAATACAACAGGGCACCATTTATCATAATTTCAGCTGAGATGACCTCAGGACACAAGGAACGTCCACCTATCAAGTTCTACTGGGGCTACAACTCACGAATTAATGTCACATGGAATCCAACAAACAACTCAATCTGTTTGACCATTAAGAACATCAACGAGTCTGATGAGGGATTCTACTTCTGTACAATTGGAGATGGCATCTTTACTACTCCAGGAACTGGTCACATTCTTAAATTAGAAGGTAAATATCATCCATTTTGTTTTATGATGTCTTTATAAGTAATTGTATTATATATACACATTAAAATATATTGTTTGATATTATATATAACGTTGCTGTCGGAACAATACCTCATATCTCCATTTTTGTTGTTTTTCAGTTTTTGACAATTTGAAAATGCCTGATGCCCTTTACATTGTGTATAGATTTCATGATGAATGAACCAAAGGAAATGTCCCAAATGAAGTAATAAATGTCTGGTTCCATTGACCTACATTAAAAGTAAAGTATGTTTTTTCCTTCTCCTGTAAGGTTACCATTTTGGAGATACAAAGTTTTGTTCCAACAGCAGCGATATATCTCTTTTATAAAAATCTCTGCAAAGTCCTTGTTAATGAGGTTGAATTTGAAGTTCAACATTACTTTGAGGACATTTTCCACCCCATCCTTTCCAGTCAGTTTTAACTGGAAACAAGATTTAACCCCTTACCAAGCTCGGCGGTGGGCCCAAAAAGTTTTATTACACACTTTTATAACCTTGCTGGGTCCATTAGTTTGCATTGAAGTCCCTGTAGTTACTGAATAATAAGCTGTAGTATGTAATAAGCCTGCAAGGTTAAGGGGTTAATTCATCATATGTTCATCATGAACAGAGCCTTTGGAAACCTTCACTCCAACCCCTGTGAGCACCGCTGGACAGATGAGTTCTTCTGGAGAGAGTGGGCAGTGTGGAATAGTTTGGACTTTGGTGAGCATTGTGTGCTCTCTGAGCATCCTTTTAACTGCACTGGTGCTTTTGATCATCCAGAAGAAAAGTAAGTTGATTTAAATTGTACTTACTTTATGTATTGAATTCATATAATGACATAAATGGTTTAAACATACAATCAAAACACAGCATTAACATATAATCAAAAATCTACATGATAAAAGGGGGAAGACGCACTGGAACATCACAAACTGGACAGCGAATGCGACAAGTTGAGAAGCTGGTATGTAATGCTGTTTATAGCATTTATGTCTGATTTATTCACTGAAATATAAATAATATACCTATATTGCAACACTTAATTGCTTGAAACATTTCATTTATATCTGTTTTCAGGAGGAGACTGAAGTGCAGTACAGTGCGCTGCATTTCTCAAACCCTAAATGAACCAAAGAGATGGCGTAGTCAGACACAGAAACTGACTGAATACATTTATTTCTTATTTCAGGCTTAATAAATATTCCTGTGTGCATGAAAGTAAATAGGTTTGTACATCATTTTATCATTGCTGTACAAAATGTTCTACGTGACAGACAGAAAAAAGCTGCGCCAAAAGGTTTTCAATTTGTTTCTATGTATACAGAGATATGTGTCAACATTACTGTCTGCAGTAATTTTAGGGTTGCTCTAAAATTATAATATATTATCTGTTTACAGGAACAATCCAGCATTTTTCAACCTAATCACTGTATTCTGCACCTGTATTGTATCACTGATTACTGCAGACAATAATGTTGACACATTTCTCTGTATATATATATAGAAACAAATTGAAAACTTTTGGCACAAAACTCACTTATAATAGACATCATAGGGCAGTTGCTGAATTTCATGAATAAATGTTAATAATGAATAATGAAAATTTAATAAATAACAGCAAGTGTGACACCGTAGCAATACAGGTTTCAGGATGAGACAGACATGAATGCCTTACACCAAAGCAGCTCATACAAAGTTTTATCCAAATTTCGAACACTGGATCCGCACCTTAAAAAGTCATTTCTTTTGCTTTCTCTGAGGGTTTCTAGTACCCATGCGTGTACTGTCTGAATTCAGCGACTGCCCGATGGCTTATACTATACGTTTTGAGTCCAGAGGTTTTCAGCTTTTTTACAGAAGTCCAGGGAAACATTTCATAATCACTTTCCGTGGTAACTGACTGCACACTGCAGATGTGGCTGAGAGAGGTAGGATGAAAAATGCTGAAATATTCCTTTAATCAGCAGTTATTTAGTGAGGACGATGAGAACATCAACACCAAAGACGTTAATATATGTGCCCACAAAATTATTACAAATATGTGCGATTCTTCTCTAGCACTGTGATCAATCTCATTTAGTCCAGCATTGAGTTTAATCGTGGCTCTTTTGCACAGTTAATGAATTCTGTTTTAGTTGATATGGTTTACTTTGTCTGCATTAAAATATCGAGCTCATTGAATTTTCAGTAGCGAACAGAATAATAATACATATTACATTCTGTCAAAGGGGAATTCCACCGATTTTTCAAGATTTCTGCATAATTAAATGGTTGAGATGTAAACAGTCTTTCAGTTTGTTTACTGATTTAATGTGAAGTGAGACATTTACTCCATTTTCTGTATAGTGGTGGTGATGGGAACCGGGGGTTGAGATGTGTATAGCACAGCATTTTATTTATTATCCAAAACCACTAGTGAACCTACATGTATCTTCTGAGCTTTAATAGGCAATAATGATAATGGTAGTGTTAAATCCATTTTCTTTGGATATTACTTTGCCTTGTAATGTCCTGCAAAGTGTTAACCTTTTCTCAAAACCATCGTAATAAAATGTCTCAGCCATTTCATCAGATAGCTTTATGTGAGCCAGCTCACATGCATTAAATACTTAGGATGTCTGGGTCCCATCACCAACAATGTGAACAAGAATTTAAAACATTTCACATGGTGACATTTTGAGAAATCAGTGGAATTCCCGTTCGACTTTTCATTTATAATTCAACAAAATAGAAAATGTATGGTCACTAACTAGGTTACAGTCATAGTAACATCATATCATTTTTAGTGTATGTGTTTCATACTTCAAATAGATGGAAAAAAACATGCATCTTGCATGTATGAGTGCTGGGCGCGTGTGGGTGGCTAGGTGGATTCGGCTGACTGTGGTGGGGAGTTCCGGCATCATAGTGAGATCTAACCGCTGACTGATGCTCACTGTTAAGTGTTCCAACCACAGCAGTGTGTAAACTTGGCCAAAAACAATGCTGATGGGCTTTAACCCCTTTACAAGCCATAGGCCTGCCGGCAGGCCCAAAGTTTTCTTACTCACTACTATAACCTAAGAAAAGCTCCATTATTTTGCTTTGAAGTCCCTGCAGTTAATGAATAATAAGCCTTAATACATAATAAGTCTAGAATGTTAAGTGGTTAACTTCACAGGAGCCATGGTCCTAAAAATAAGTCTAATTTACATAACAAAACATTCAAACATTTAAACCAGATGTGGTCACATCTTTACTGCAAAGCCACACAGCTTCAGATAACTGTGAGCTGTTTTGATGAATACCTAAATATGGGTTACAGAGTTACAGGGCTGTGCTGTTTCTTGCATTAGACAATGGAGAACATACACAACAAGGACATTAGAAATGATTGACAGTTAATAAACTTTCCCAGTTCTATGATGGTGTAACAATATAATATGATTTACTTTGTTACAGATACATAAAATTCACCACTGGCACTGTTAGACATCTGTTACACACTTGACTTCATGTCATGAATGTATTCATCCATTGTTTTTTTATTGATGTGTATTTGATTTATTAGATTGTTTCTTTTATATGTTATTTTTAGTGGTTTTCTTTAAAAGAACAATAAATTTCTTGACTCTGTCGCCAAAGTTTTCAAAATCAGGATCACTGTTAACCTTCCCTGTGATTTTCACAGAAATACTGTTGTGTGTTGAATATAAAACCAAATATTAAAGTGCTGTTGAAAAATGTGTCCTTGTGTGCATTAAACAGACAGCAGATATGAAAAAACAGAGTACACTAGAGGACATAGCCAAGAAGTTTTGTGTATTCAAAATAAAAACCGTGTTCTCGGGTGGTATTTATACACATGGAGGATTCTGATGGGTAATATCTAGCTGAATTCTTCATACTAATCGAGTTGTACATTATATTTTTTAAAAATCTGGAAATGTATCATTTTCACTAGTTTTGTAATTAATCATTGTAGTTTTATATAACTATAAAGCCGGAGATCTTAAAGTAAACAAGTAGTCAGTCGTGTGTACACTTAAAAATGCTCAGCTAACAAAAATATACTGAGCCTTAAATTAGAACTTAGCATTATTAGTAAATAGCAACTAAAACATCTTCCTACACATGACATAATACCCTTCAGCATTAAATTATCATTGAAGTATTATTATTATTACTTATTATTATTATTATTATTAGCAGCAGCAGCAGTAGTAGTAAGAGGATTTCATTATTTAGGTAACTTGGATGTTCATTGAACTTCAAATCACAAGTTAACAGCATGCAAAACACAGGTTGTCATCCTGTTAACTTACTATTAGAACTTCAATGAACTTAAGACAACCAGGTTACTTAAGTTTAAACATCAAATAATTTTTTTACAGTGTATTAATACGTTATTATCAGAAATGCCTAGATTAATTCTCATTTTCACTGTGACACGATCCTAACACAAGTCGCTGTTTTTATAGAACTATTTCTCACTGTTACTCTTATAGGCCTGTAACAGTCATTTATAATTGGTTAATCTAAATCCTCCTGTCCAATAATAGGCTCATTTCCTTTCTTTATTCCACAGTCACTATTGTATAGTCACAGTGAGTTCTTATTCCTTATTTATATTGCTCTTGTTGCATTATTGTTTAGATATCTAGTGTCCACCAGAGGAGGATGGGTTCCCCTTTTGAGTTTTGAATTACTGTCGCCACTTGATCATTTTGAGCTTGGACTCTGATTTTCTGTAAAGCTGCTTTGTGACAATACCTGTTGTAAAAAGCGCTAAACAGGTAAGTTTGTAATCAAATGATGATGATTATTATTATTATTATTATTATTATTATTATTATTATTATTATCAGTAGCAGCAGCAACAGTACTTTAAATACTGAACAAATGAATAATGGTACAATGTTCAATTTTTAAAGATCAATGAACAGAAGAGCCAGTGAGTTAACTTTGGGTTCAGTGCACATTTAGTCCACAGTGATTTTGCACAAAACTCATGTAATCTATTGAGAAAGGCAGTTATTGAGATAGCATTGTTGGCTGTGTTGCAGTTTGAGTTTTGTTGTTGCTCATAATTGCAATATTAACTTTTAATCAAAAAATGTCTAAAACGGTGAACTAGCAGACCGGCCTGCAATGAATATGTGTAATAGAATTTTTTCTTATGCAGTGTTTGGAAATGTTTCCAGATTTTTTTATGTTATTTCCAGAACACAGAAGATCTTTTTGCATCCCGGAGTTCCATTCAGATGTGGAACTATTGTAGTAAAGCAAGGGGACCGAAGAATGTATGTTTAAAAGTGAAAAATCACATTGATTAAGCCTTCCACACATGCCTAATCAGACAACCACACAGAGAAAAGACAAGAAGATTTCTGCTGGAGCATGAAATCATAAGTAACTTTAATCAGTGAAAGCTCTCGAATCCTTTACTTGAATATTTTCAGGGAAGTATGAAATATTTTTTGTGGGGAGGTTTGCTCTAAAATCTACATGCAATCAAACTGCAAGTGTGTGTATCTCTTTTTAACTGCATCACATATAAAAAGTTTCTCACTTTTTTTAGTACTATTATTTACACATTTTCATCATCTTTAAACAGCAGTCCAAACACTCAAGCAATAGTGGTTTGAATTCAGGAGGTTCCCAGCAAGACTTAAAGCTTCTTAATAGACACCATGAAGATTTAAGTGCCTAGTAAGAGTTTTTCTGTTGCAAGGAAGTGTGCACCTTATTGGGTGCAAACTAAGAATGCGTCAGTGAAGACATACAGAACATCAGTGACAAACTTACAGCCCACTGAAGCAAGCAGGCCTCAATAGTGGTTTTCATGTTCTGAACAACTCAGGAAAAATAACCATAAATACCTTTTGACAAGTAACTGAAATGTAAGGATATATTATACAATTTGCTTAGAAATATATTAGTGACAATGAGTTGAGAGTTCTTATCTTCTTTCCTGAACTGGCTGCACTGGCTGAAGCAAAATATTATTTCTTTTTGTCTCTGGGAACTTCATATAAAACTAAACTCACATATACAGAGCTGCTTTATAGCACCTGGAAGATGGTCAAGACCAAGACTTTATAGTAGTCGAGTCTGAGTTAAGATTGAGACATAGAGACTGGCAAGACTAGAAGACTAGAGGCCAGATTAAGATTTTTTGAGAATATGAAAATAAAATAAAAAGAAAGGGAAAAATGGAAATGTATTTATAGTTTATTGTACATTGAATCATAATCCATTATGCCTGAGGCATATTAATAAATAATATTTTATAATAATACAAAAATTTAATTGGTATATTTTTCATTGAAAGCTAAAAATAAACAACAGATTTTTTCAGAATTTTGAAAATTTTGAAACAAAATTAAAATTAGGCCAGGAAAAATTAAGAAGAAATATTCAAGATTCTGCACTATTTCTAGGTCACTATTCAAATTTAAGCAAACTTGTGACATTGACACAAAAAGGTCAATTTTTTTTTTGGCTTCTCTCTTCCATTGAAGCTCATGTTCAGCTAGATTTGATCTACTCATCAGCGGCTATTGCACAAACTAATGGGTCCATGGAGCTCAAGTGCACACTATCATAAAAACCGTACCATTAAAACGTCTAACACTCTGCTCTTCATGAAAATGCTTTTAATGTCAATTATGCTGATAATATCATTTGTAATGAAAAACCTTGTATGGAATTCAAATGTAATCCAAATAAAAGCAATTTAACTAGAATCTCAGACTTTTGGAACCCACTATATATTTTGTAAAATATAATATTAAATAATATTTAGCCTAAAAAAATTATTGTTACCACTTTAAAATAAGACTACCCTTATGCAGTTCTATGAATGGTTTAAAAATAGTTTGTTAATGGTTATTAGTTAGGTCATAAACACTTCATTCATCATTAATAAACAGTTATAACATTAACAGAAAGGGCAAAAGTGAGCTGCTATATCGGATGAATATGAATATGTGGTGAAGCAGTTGTAATGCTAACTGATAAAGACAAAGCAAGATCAGTAAACATCAAAATCTGAGGTTTAACTGTATGGATGAATGTGGGTTTATTATTAGGCAAACAAAAGGTAACTGCTGCCCTTTTTATTTATATATTGTAAATGCTTTTTAATGATTTTAAGGTCTTCATGACCTAATTAATAATCATTAATAGACACATTTTAAACCATTCAAGAACGCTTTATAAGAGTAGTCTTATTTTAAAGTGGTACCAAATTATCTATTAGCATTATATTATAGTCTCTAAAAGAAGGCACTTAAAGTCAACTGAATGTTAACCAAACAGCATACATCTATTTTATTATTAAATGAAAATATAGTGATAAAAACATTCTAATCTGCCCTCAGTGAATGTTTGAATTTTGGTACCAAAACATCAACCAACAAATAATACCCAGTTAAGCCATTTAGAAAGATCAGTTAGATCCTGAACAGGCAGCAAACAGATTTTCTTTAAACATGTAGGGAAAGGACTGTTTTATTCTGTTTGAATGTATTTGAATGTATTTTTCATATTCAGTAATGAATACAGAAAAATTAATGAATGAAAGAAAAATTCAATTTTCAATTCAGTTTCCAATTACTTTAGACGGAGGCAATGCACCCGGCTGGTTTTGGGTTCACCTTACCTCGAGACCGAGACCGGCCTTGAGTACTACAACATTACTAGGTATGCTTGAATTAAGTAGTCAAAAGCTCTTCTCTATAAATTGCAGTTTCTTGTAACTCTAATTGTAGATTTCTAATTATGCAATGTACTCTATCATCGGTCACCTTTTGTCCAGGTTTCTGTCCTGCTTTGTGCTGTTTCTATTCCAAACACTGGGAGGTGCTCTTCGACAGGGCTTCTTTAGCTCTTAGGACAGAATAGCCAAGCTTTGCATCTGAAATTAGGTGCAATACAGCAGAAATTTCACACAATGGAACAGAATATACTAATCTATTGTATGACATTTAAGTGAATATGAAACTTTTCATACTGACGCTTACCAATCCAAGCCCCTTGGTACCAGTGGAATCAGAGGAATTAACAGTTTATTGTTGTGAATAACACAGTAATAACTAAACAGTTATTGTGGTGTTTTTTATTTTTTATCTTTTTACCTACAATTTGAGGAACACTATGGTTTCCGACAAACTGGCCTTCCTGGACTACCATTTTTGCGCACTATTTAGAGTTGCATGCAAGTTTAGTCAGTGGTCTGATGACAGACTAAAACCTTACAAGCATCTCAATAACACTTTTGCAACTCTTAGCCTAATAGTTCTGGCTAATTTACTGCCATCACCATTCTCACTGCAGGTATGTTCTGAGTTTTGTAGGCATTTTTCCTTCATTTAAAAGGGAAGGAGTAGTAATAAGAGACAGCTGTGATTGGCTGAAAGGCATGTCAATCATAAGTGTTGAATTCTATTTCTTTATTGAAATGAACTTAACAGGATTGTCGTTTGCCAGCAGAGATGTGTCCAGTAGCCTGGACCCATACTCAAATAAACATACTGTAGTGTTATTAAACACTAGTAAACTGTTATTAAAAGAGACACAGTCATGGCACTTTGTTATCCAACTGCTGTTGGCCACAGCTACGCCATATATAAGCAGAGTTTTCTCCTTACTAAAACTCTTTTGGTACTCAGTTCCAGTCTGGCTCTCAGCTCTTTCTGCTTGAACATGCTACAGTATTGTTACTTCTGTGAATAAAATGAGTCAAGCAAAAGTACCTTTCCAAAAATCAACTTTAGAGGACGTAAAACACGCCAGGTCAAAAAACTAGTGCTGAGTAATTTACAGAACTGCAGTCGAACATCTTAGTACGTCACCTGTCAGTATAAGAAGTTCAGTCTGTTAGGCTCTACTTTTAACTTGCTATGTTCCTTTATTTTTTGCTATCTTTGATTTGTACACGTCTCTATGAAAGCCTATTCTCGCCATATAGAGGAGAAAAATCGCCTTCTTCTTCTTCTTCTTCTTCTTATTATTATTATTTGCCTCCTTCTCCGTTTCTGGCTGCAGTATGAACTTATTTTCCAGAAATATTGACCTAATATCTCAAAGTAATGACTAACTTACTTCAAATATTGATCACTTATGTTCGTCCATTCATATCTGAAAATCCCAACTTATCACACAACCTCTATATTTTATATCCCTGACAAAAATAAAGCTGATAAAGAAATCCTCCCCTTTAAACACCGCACCTCCCTTTAAGTGAGTCTAGCTGTGTCTGCTGGCGGACGGAGTGTGTGTGTGTTGTGTGTGCGAGTGTGTGTTTGATGGTTTGAGGTCTGGCTCTCTTGTCAATATCACAGTTAAATGTTTAAATGCGATGCGATGGGATTCTTGTGACCATGGATAAAAGGCGAATCCTGATCTTGTGTCTGGTTGCTGTGGGGCTTGGTGGAGTGTGTGATGGTGAGTGGAATACTGTTTACTCCAGCGATCTTTGGCTCTGTATTTATTTATTTAATCTGAATCTGGCATTTCCTACAACAACATCATGGCGCTCGGATTTGGTAGCTCGTTAGCTAGCTTGCTAGCAAGCCAGGCGTTAAGTTCTGTAGTAATAGGTTTGCCCTAGTTTGCTGTTTAATCGAGAACACCATTCATATTTTTTGTTTATGTTACATGTATTACTTGTCTTTGGGTTATAGCTGAAATACCCAGTGTCTCGAATGAAGCGGCTCCGACATGTAGCTCGTTAGCTTCCTAGCTAGCTCAGGCTAACGAACCCCGCTCTGTATAAGCTACTTAGCTAGCTAGGTTAAGTGTAACACTCCCTTTATCTAGTTAACCATCTATCTACCGAGTAAATTAAAGTCTAAGGTGCTAACCCTACCGTAATGTGTCGCGGTAACGTTTTTAGTTAACTGTCTGGGTTATTTGTTTGGTTAGCTTTAAGCTACCAACGAAGTTGAAGTTATCCGCTTGTTCAGTAGCTTCTCATCTGAATTTTCCGTTCCACCTTAAAGTGCAGCATTTACGTTCGGGAGAATGTACAGGCGCCCAAATGTAACAGCTACACTTTATTAAGCTGGAAAGAAAAAATCAAACGAGAAGCCAGTTTCAGCTTTGCAAGCTAGCAAGTGGTTTGTATGAAGCCAAGGGCAGTTAAATATTCACACATCGCGTCTCAGCCTACAATGTCTTGTTAGCAAAATCAGTGCAGTCTAGCTCCCTAACTACTTTTTAATCAGTGACCATATTAAGCACGCAGCAGCCATCATTTAGGAAAGAGATGTTTGTAACGATTTCATAGGAGTAACCTTAGTCCCCTTAGTTTCATGTAGGATGATCAGTCCAACTGCTGTTTCGTTTCACAGAAAAAGACATAACGCCTTACTCAACTATACTGTGTTACGCCCATCGGGTGAAAACTAAATATTAACTCTGAAGACCTGTGCTGGCTGTAAAACCGATCTGAAATTAGAGGCCACTGTCTTGGCAGAGTGAGGTTGAGAATGGCAGGCCTGCATGTTCACTATGCGTTTGCCTGTGAAAGATGATACGGTTTGGGATGCTAATAACATCAGAGCTGGGCTACAGTAACACCAGTGTCACTGAGTTCGCCCAGTGAACACAGAGCCTACAGTGAAGCTTCTGTGTAAAGAAAGTAGAGAAATAAAGGAAAAGGCAGTCAATTGGGGAAGAGCTGTGCAGTCATACAGTAGCCCCAACACTCCACTTCTTTCTCTCTGCCTCCCATCCTTCATTCTCTGTCCACAGTGATCTACTGTAGGCCCAGCAAATTTGAGCATCATCTGATACATCCGGTCAATAATTGTTGTCTGGTCTGACTGGGTCATGCTCCCCGTGCCCCCTCCTTTATGTATCTCTGTCATCAGTATTAAGTAAACATGTTGGTGACATCTACAGCAGCAATACTGCTTTTTTAACAGATTTACTCCTTTACCATCTTTCAAATGGATTAAACCAAGGGAGACCAAACTTTTTGTACTGGGGGGCTAAAGTGGAATGTTTCTGGTGGGCAGAGGGCCAAAAAGACAAAACAGCTTGCAAATGAAGAAGGTGGGACTGTTTCAAATTGAGTTATTAAAATGTTTTTTTTTTGACATTACACTATAGTTTGTTGCTAAAATACATGTGTTAAGTTTTAAGCATGTATTGTGTTTAAGGACTAAAACCTGGAACACATTTCTCTCTATATTCTCTAAAACTGAAGTATAAAGATTATTTGCTGTTTAGTGGACCCATCTGGCATTTTAAATTCTTAAAAATGTATTTAAATAACAAAAATCAAATAAAGTGCTGCATTCAAAGTAAGAGGCAACTGGCTATTTAGCACAATGAGCTGTGCATAGTTGAGCTACAACATTTTGGTGCAGGTATACTGGCAGTATTCAGGACAGTAGAGTGCACTAACCTGCCTCACATTATTGATGTTATAAACTTGCAACACAGATTAGACAAAATAAAAGTAACAAATTGTCTGACTGCCAATTGCATTTGGAACAAAAAAATCAGCCAGTTTTGATCATACACCAGTAATATATATATTTTACAAGTATGTTTGTCCTCTCATTGGGTGAGGGGGTGGGGTTAGGGTAACTTGTGGGCCAAAATCAATTGTCCTCATGGGCCACACTTTAGCCTGCAGGCCACACTATGGGCATCCTGTATTAAACTGCAAGTGCCTTGTGTGCAAAAATTTTATGCTAACACACTCTGTACTCTATGCTCTACATGCAGGCTTACTTTAGTCTTGCAGTAATGCTACAGATTGGCCAGCCAGGTTCTACATAACATGGATGGCAAAGCAGAGGTTTAGCTAGTGGTGCAGTGTTACTGTGGTGCAGTGTTATCTTATCATACCAGTATAAACATAGATTGTGTATTATAGGTTAATCTGGAGTGCTAAGCTGAACACACAGTTGGAGCGTGCTGGAGATAATAGAATACCAACACGCTGGGATGATGAGCACATTACAACATGCTAATCTTACCTCACCAGAGGCGTTTAGACACTTCACGTTTTTTTTCTTTTTTCACAAACTCTGTGAACTTTTTAAATTGTAAAATTTTGACTGTTACGTCACAGTGTGCTGGTTCTTATGCCACAGCACCAGTTGCCTTGTTGATTTAAAGACCCAGAGAACCTAAATCTGTATCCTTTTAAATTAGGTTAATCTTGTTCTTGCAGGCAAACAGTTACATGTACTAAGTATACCGTTTTGAATAATGTTCCAATGACCAATAAATGACTGATATACACTCACTGAGCATTTTATAGGGAATGCCTCCTTGTATCTTCGCTCATTGTCCATTTTATGAGCTCCATTTACTGTATAGGTTCACTTTGTAGTTCTACAATTACAGACTGTAGTCCATCTGTTTCTCTACATACTTTGTTAGTCCCCTTTTTGTCCATGCGTTTGTTCATCTGTTTGGCCATGACGTGTTGTGTCATATTTATATATATTTTTTTATTTAGACTTTTCTGGATATTTGATATTACACTCAAGTTCAGTACCATACAAACATTTTTATCATACAAACATATTTTACTGTGTGTTCCCCGGGACTTTAAGTGTGCATTGGAGATGGCATATTGATATTGATGGGTGTTGATATTGGGCTGATATTAAATATTTGATGCAGAAGAAAATGAAGGCAAAAAAAGAAAGAAGCTGATCCAATCTTGGAACAAATCTGTACTGAAATAGCACACTCAAATTGTGTGATGTTAGCTGTGTATTTCTTCCTGTGGGATGGTAGTGAGTGTTTGAGTAGTTTGAGGATGATGGACTACATTTAGATGCTCATATGAAGTGAAGTGCTTCCATTAAAAATAATTTTAAATTTTCCATTAAAATTAATTTTAAAGCCTTATAGTTTCAGCTCAGTATCAGCCAATACTTAAGGTTTCGATATTGATATTGGGAAAGAAAAAGTGGTATTGTTCCATGTGTAGTGTGCACATTGAATCATCATTAGATTCTACCTCATCTATCGACACTTCAAAACACCATTGTCAGTCAGCTCAAGCCTACATGACAAACTGAGTGATGTGATGGAGTTTCAATCTGTTATCTATACCTGAAACTCCAACAGGGTTTCGAACAGCTGTCGTCATAAAAACAGTTTGTCATCGTTTGTGTCATCATAATAAAGTGTAGATGGTGTTGGTAAGTCACGGCTGCATTCCACCTTGTTGTAAATGTCACTGGCTACAGGTGTGAGAGGAAGGCATGTGTGCATGGATGGCTGTGACATAAAAACCTGAATGCTTACTATGAAGGACACAGAAGGCTTGGGGACTGTCCATTTGTCTTGCTTTCTTTCTGTAGAGAAGAAGCAAATTGATGTGTGATGACTTGAAATTCTGCAAGTAGAAAGACTGGAACATGGAAATGATGAGGCAATGCTAATACAATGCTAGATTTCTCAGAGAGTGGGAGAAACCGAGGGACGAAGGCATGCCAGTACATATGAAAACATTCCCTCCCACGCAATTGAACAAGTCTACTTCTGACACACACACACACACACACACACACACACACACACACACACACACTCTCACAGAATGCCAGACTTGTTGCATCTTTATTGTTCAAAAAGGCAAATACAGAGGTCTATACTCTGTATGAGAGAGAGTGTACAGAAGTAGTCAGCAGTGAACATGACTGTATGTAGTGAGTATGAGTGCTGTAATTGGGCCTGAAATTTTGGCCTAAACCCGAATACAGCCTTACAATTTTCTCTTCAAGACAAACCCGACCAACGCACAGCATCACATTTTGAGTCCCAACCCAATCTGAACCACATCAGCAAACCGACCGAGTACTACAACATTCTGTCTGAAACTGACCGACACTAACCCATCACCCAAAGTGCCAAATAAAACCTGACAGGATAGCCCCAGTGGCATTGTAGTTTAGGGCTGCAACAAATGGCTATTCTGATAGTTGAATAATCTGTCGATTATTGAAACAAATGATCGATTATTTAGAACATGAATTACTCAGTTACCAAATAACTCTTATGTAGCTATCAACATTTAAATTTAGTTTGAGGTCATCATCATCATGATCTCCATGGACAATCCACACCTCAAACAGACTCACTCCAATCTTACTGTAACTTCTAGCAGATCTATACCTGCACACATAGATTGAAATCTTGTACATCTTCCATCCATATCTTTGTATAATCTGGAATATATATATCAATATTCTAGCCAGTGTGTACCCTGCATCTCATTTATCTACCTCAGACTCAGAAATTGCATATATGAAAATCTGTACAACTGTACATATTATAGCTTGTATTTCATAACATATTACTATACAAAGAAGTAGATCAGTTAAATGTCTCTCAACGTTCGACTGTTTTACGAGGCTGAAGTCGCTTCTTATTCTCCAGCTTCTTGTTCGAATTTACCCGTTCCACCT